ATAGTCTTCACTATCATGCAGTTCCGTTTTAACATTATTGCGAAACATAATGCAAATACCGAAAAGCACATTGCCATTATATAAATATAGTTAAGTGAATTCCTATGAAGAAGACACTCTTATCACCATACCTGAGGTCATGGGGTAGAATTTGACTGACCCCAACTTCCAACCCCAAGTTCCTCCTCCAGGTAAACTGCTCCCGACTTGTACCTTGAACATTGCTTTGCCTTTCTTTTCACTTTTCCTTCCTATGCATGCAGCCTTCAGTGCTGACATTTAGTTTGGCCATGTTTTGAATATGATTTGTACTGAAACATACTGTATATTAATATTATATCTTATTTAACCCAAGCTCTTTGGGATATAAGTTGTCCACATAAACAAGGATATTTGTTTCTTTTTTCTTTTTGGCAATGTGGCATTGTTTCTTATTCACTCCCACAAGTTAATTTGGGTGTCATTAGCGATACATTCAGGTTCTGAGATGTCAGCACTATTGTGCTGTGTAGAAGCACCCCTTTTCTCGTTCCCTTTACATTCATTTTAATTGCTTTGTTTCCATTTCTGTGTGTGCTATGTGTATGCGTTTGCATATATATGCATTTTTGGTCTTTGAAATAATTTTCTTACTTTGTTACCTTAGGATGCTCACTCCTAACAAAAACTGCTCATCCTTGTTTAATTTTCAAGTACTGGAAATCAATGGGCTGAGAACAGATAAACAAGTTGATTATAATTTTGTTGGAATTAAAATAAATATTCAGTAAGTGAGGACTTGCCACTGAATAAAATGCTCAATATCCACATGACCCTGAACAAATCATCATTTTGAAACCTCTCTGTTCTTCTCCTAAAGAGTGAAGATAACAGTGGAACCTGTCTTTGGGGTTGTTGTGGAACATGACCAAAGTGAATGAATGAACTGTGTGGCCCATCAGAATAGCTACCACATTTTGAATTTAGTCACTGTGAATGTATCATTGTTAAGCATCCTTCTTACCTGTTTTTGTTTTGTGTCTCTGCCATTGTACCCAGGCTGAGATTCACTTGGGGCTTTCACACAAACCATGTCATCTGACCACAGTCACCAGGGATGGGGCAGATGCCATGATTTCTATTTTCAGGGAAAGAAACAAGATGTAGGCAGGTAGGCAAATTACCTCGTGTACAGGTAACTCATGCCAACTCCCTGGACTCCATCCCAGGTTTTCTCACTCCAAATCATCCTCCTCTTCATATATCAGTTAATTTTCCTAATTCACCATCTTTTATAATCTATTATAACCTAGTAGCGAGATAATAGAATCACTAAGAAATAAAGTCTCAGCCAGGATCTACTTTATAAAAAACATTTCTATGAGTTTATCTCTTCTCACTCAGTCGCTTGCTCATGTATTCCTGCCCTTAGGCCGCCTATTCTGTTCCTCAGACACTCAAAGCTCCTTTCAGCTTCAGGTATTTGCATGGCCTGATCCTTTACCTTCCAATTCTATTATATGTCACCTCCTACCTGACCAGCCCACTTCTATCACAGTCTACCCCTCCACTTTTCCTATTTCAGTAGAATAGAAGGGCCTAAAAGTAGAAGCTGGAAGAATGGAATGTGACTAGCAGAAAGAAGATATGACTAGCAGGCAAGAATTTAACAGGGGCAAGCACTGGGCATGAGCCCTTGAGAGTAAAACTAGAGGTTGCAAATGGTAGATTGATGGATAAAAATTGAAAGCAATGAAGCAGTTCTGTTCCTTGGAGGCTCTTACTAAAAGTAGTGTTCCCATCCACAGAAATCAACAGTATACAAAACATTAACTAAGGGCTGGGAAGGTGGCTCAGTGGTAGAGCGCTTGCCTTGCATGCCTGAGGCCCTGGGTTCGATTCCTCAGCACCACATAAGCAAAAAGAAAAAAGCTGGAAGTGGCGCTGTGGCTCAAGTGGTATAGTGCTAGCCTTGAGCTGAAGAGCTGAGAGATAGCGCCCAGGCCCAGAGTTCAGGCCCCACAACTGGATCCCCCCCGCAAAAAATAAAACATTAACTAATCAACAACCACAAAAATGGAGCACTGAAATATATTCCAGTGCTTTGTTAGCTAGTTAAGAGGCCATAACAATCCCATGTGAAAATAGATTTAACTACTTGGTGCTATTTGTTTTCTTTTTGTGGGAGACAGAATGCTGAGGTTTGAATTCAAGATTTTGTGCTTTGCTAGTGGGCTACGCTCCTGCTGAGACACACCTCCATCCCTTTTTTGCGTTGGATGTTTTTGAGAGAAGAGTCTTACCACAGTCCCCCCATTTATGTGTCTAAGGAAGTACATGATAATGACATACTTCCATATCCAGTTATTGGTCAAGAAGGGAGTCTCACAAACTTTTTCTCCTAGGCTAGCCTCAAACTCTGGTTCTCTTTATCTCAGCCCCCCCAAAAGGCTGTGATTACAGGGGTGAGCCATTAACGTCCAACTTTTCTTTCAACAACTTAATTCTGCTTATGTTCTCTCTCTCTCTCTCTCTCTCTCTCACACACACACACACACAGTGTACTACTTTGCCTACTCAAGATGTGCTCTCTTCTGGGAAAGTCTATCCTTTGTGTGACTGAAATATTTCATATCCTCCAAAAGCCCAGGACACTTCTCACTTTCAGCCCAGGGTGCACTTGTGTTTCTCTCCTCTGCTGTCCCTCCTCCCTGTACTGGAGCCCTTGTTCAGTTGAACTGCCTCCTTGAGAGACCACATGGCTCATCTCAACATCCCTAGTGTCCATGGAAGTGGGCACTTTGCTAAAGGCCATGGGGGCTTCCCTGAGACAGTAGAGCCCCCGACTTCCACAGGGTCCTCTCTAACGCCATGTTAGGGAATTTTTTTCTCCCTTGCAATTCCAGACCGGTTGTTGTTGTTGGAGTTTACAGCCAGCTTTTAAAATAGATCTAAGCCCTGGAGCCTCAATGCCTCCAACAGTCATGCTCAACTTGTGATTTTCCAGCATCTTTCCCTGGGGGCGGTGGCTGCCTCCATCCTTGAAAGAACCACGGGTTCTGATTTTAGGTATTGTTTGGAGCCCATGATCAGATCCACAGTGGAGTGTCTCACAGCTTGCATTATTATCTGCAGAGGGTATACTGCTCCAGTGTCACCGCCTCACCGAAGCCTTCCCTGACCACCCAGTCACAAGTATAAATAGCCTCCTCCTCTGTCATCCCCTTCCAGAACTTGGAATTCTGCATCCCATCTCTCACTGTCTGAATGTCTTGTGACTTCAAGACTTTGTACATTTTTTATTCACCTAAGAATTATTTTCAAAAAGTTTTAAATGTCTTCTAGCTGGGAAGTCAGCTCTTCCTTAGTACTTTACTTTTTCTCACCCAAACCCCCGTCCCTTTATTTTTAAAGGAACATTCTCAACAACACATTTCAGAAATGGAAAGAGTTCAGAAAATTTATGAAGGAGGAAAGAGTTAAAGAAGAAAGACGAACGCAGCTCCGCAGGAAGGTTGCTGAAATCCTTCCCGATTTCCAGATGCTGGCACCATCATAACAGGAGCTCGCACCAGCAGTCCAGTGCTCGGCCCTTGAATCAGATGGTTTTGGTGAGCCTTTAAATGGACCCTATTGCTCAGAATGGACGATCTTGATTGGTCCAGAATGAGCACCAATTGTTGTCTCCGTCCACATACCCACCTTCATACCTATATCTAGTCCTTTTTCTGAGGCACTTCTTGGACCAGAAGGTATATTGACAATTTATACTCCCTTCTCTGATTTCTCATAGCTTTCTAGTCATTCACTATATAGCATTTAGCACAGTGGGATCATGCAAAGGAATGTTCTAGAGCACTGCTGTTCAAATATGTCCTATATATTTTTAGTGAAGTAAACTTTAAAAAAGGACAAGTTTTGGGTCTTGCTTTGTGAAGGAAAGTATATCCTTATGGCTTCATGTGAATTCTGGGGAAGTGTAATTTTAAGTAGAATTAGCAGTGAGTACTAGTGCTGGTGGTCCATGTTCTCAAACCTCAATGGCAGTAACAAACACTGCCGGGCCATTCCTTTTGACCAGCTCTGATGGCAAAACACCTATCAAAAGCTACTCTAGACACTCTACTCAGGGCCAGCAGCTTGATTTCAGAGAAACTAGGGCACCAAAGACACTGTACCTTGCTAAGCATGGAGGAAATTCTGCAAGCTAATAATAACTCTTATCAAAGACAACTCAGCAACTCATTAAAATGTCCCTGTTCCCAACGACAACTTTTAAATAATCCACTTGATTTGTCTTGGAGTTCCCAACTCAGGTTGATCTAGATATTGAAATACTGACCTTGAATTCAAAGAGGTTTTTTTTATCCTTAAAATGCTAAAGACATTGTTACCTGCTAGGAAAATCATTTTTATTACAAAATGCAACAATTCAAATAGTCCACACACACATTGTATAAGAAACACCCTTTCTGCGCTGAGATAACTGCTTTTAAGTTGATAGAGGAAATTTGACTGGCAAAATTAAAATTCTGTGGTTCTTGAAGTGAATGTGCTTGATCCTGACTCGTACTTCCTAGAAGGGATTTTCCTTAGGTAAATACATCAGGGACCTAAATAAATGCCAGAAACTTTACATTTTCTTTCTTTGTTTCCCTTCAAGCATCAAACTAGAAATTGAATCTTGCACAGTCCATATTTCGAATGGGCCATCAAGGCAGCCAGTTTTTACCTACAAACGTGATAAAAGGAAATAATTTTGAAGCTCCCTCTCTCACTGAACTGGTGTGAAGCCATGGTGTGAAATGTGACTGCTGTCATAATGCTGGGAGAGGCAGAATCCTGATCTACAAAACCAGGAAAATAGCCACTAGGTGTAAGGCCAGGACCAGCTACACAGCCAAGCACGTCAGGGCAGGTAGGGGGCAGCACTGCTCTCAGGCGGCGTTTTCTTACAGCAAGAGATTTTAGAAGTGGCAACAAGAAACAATGCTTTTCCTTAAATAAAGCACTTTATTTTCCATTTAAACGGTTCAGTCACAGTACATTATTTTACACAAATGGCAGTAATTGGTAAAATCTCCATTTAAAAGGCCTTGTGTCTGAGGTGGTTAAGAGGCTGTGAATACAAGTATAAAAACAGTGCAAAATGTCTAGCCCACAGCCTCCAGCTTGGCTTCCGACACTGTCTGTAATGTTGCTGGGCCAGTTCAAATATTAAATGTGATATTAGGTAAACATTCCTGTGTTTCCTTTAATCCAACATCAGATCCAGAAATGGAATCAAATGAAGGGATACCACACCCCAACAACTTAACCATCAAATCACCTAAACCACGCAGATCACTAGCTGACCTCACCATAGTCTGACATGGAATCTTGCTAGCGGCCTCACCTGAAGAAATAACAGATTCAAGTCAAAACTAGCTCTCATTCTGCAGCTTTCCAACAGACTGGCTCTGATTTTAAAGCTTTGTCTTTTAAATATGAAAGTGTCTTTAAGGAGGCTAAGTCACAAGCCTTAACTTAGAGATGGTCAAAGCCTAGAAGAAACTGGTCTCTTGGAGCCATCCGGGTTTGGGCCTGCTGCTGCTCCTACAAGAAAACACTTTGTGCTAGCTTAAGTCTAGATAACTGTTAGCAAGGATTAAATTTAGCTTATGCTGAACAAAAAAAAACGTTTACTTCGATCACAGGCAACAATCCACAAGAACATACTGAATTTTTTTCGGTATGAAGTTCCACACAGCATTTGCTCTCCCCTGCACTGCCTTCACAGTGTTTAATGTAAGACGGCACACTTGTCAAGCTGCTGCTGAGAAGCCAGATGCCAGACAGGTGCCTCCCGCAGAAGTGTCTTATCATCCATTGCTTGTTTGAGAAAATTCTCCTCTTCAAAATGCAGGGTACCAAAATATGGCTCCAAGGAAGTTAAGTCATACAAACCTACTCAACCAGTTTGAAAGGACTCAAGTTTCACAGATACTAAACAGGTTGGAACAGTGCTTCTCGATGGTATATTTTTGCTTCCGTTAGTTGAGCTTCATAATGTCTTAACCAAAGGAAGGAAGTCTGTTAAGCATATGATCGGTATTATGTAGAATCTTACTGGCATTGTGTTCTCTGGCAGTAGAAGAGAAAATTGTCTCTTACTAAAAATATTAGCAGTACCAAGGACCATTGCATAAGAGAACGTGTACAACAGTCTTTCTTCTAGGCAGGAAGTACAATGGAAGACAACAAGAAAACCCTAGTTACCAAAGAAGAGCTAAGAGTTAAACACAAATGTGTATCTGAAGTGAAACAAGCAGCATGTTGTCACAGAAACACATAAAAAGGCTTCGCTTTGGCAGCAGAGTAACCTACCAGTGGTGTGGTCAAGTCTGCTCATGTCAGGAGCGCCCAGCTAGGACCACAGAGAGCTTCAAAAGTATCCTCAGAAAAGTCCCCGATATTGAAATATGTTTCCCTTTCATGTAATCCTGATCCTTACATTTGTCTCCTTGTACTTGCCCAGCAAAATAAAACAATGGGTCGTCATAATGTAAATGGTCAGGACATAATGGGGTCAATCGTTAAGCTCCATTTCCAGTGTGCTTCTCAATGGAGGCTGAAAATGTGGGGTGAGGCAGGGATCTGCTTGTTTGGAATCAATGGGGAGGGAGGGTGTCTTGCTCCCATGACCCAGAGACTGGTTTACGAACCTCAGAGCAATTTCCACTTCTACCACCCATGTTTCTCAGGGACAACCCATTCACAGAGGCCTGGTTCCTTCAATGTCTCCCAAGTCATGTCTTCTGCCCTCTGGAGAACCGAGGCCTATAACAAAATCTCTCAAGTAATTTCAGATCATAAAAAGTCGAGGAGGGTACACCCAGGATGCCTTCCAGGAACACTGCTCAAAGACAGCCTTGCCTCGTGTCTGCTGCTCCCTTAGGTGCAAACACTTCAGAAGGCTGGTATCCCCACAACACCAAACACTCTTTGTTACAGGTTTGAGCTTCCTTCTGTAAAGTGACAATCAAGGTCTCAATTACCATTGGACTATATGTCCCTCCTCAAGTGAGGAAAACTTGAATTGCCTCATCCAAGTGACTGCGGAATTGTCTGGTGATCGTTCCAAGTGCTCACCAGTGACTATAGGCTTCCTGTACTATGCATCTTCGCCACATCACACTTGGATTGTTAAAGATTTGACAAGCTGTAATTACAGACTACACTAGTGTTTCTATGAGTTTTATTATCAATTGCTAGATAAGAGTTGGTTCTATAGCTGGCATTCTAGAGACATGAACACTACCAATTTCTGCCCACATACACTATCCTTGATATTATTACTATCATTCTTATCTAAAGCCTACAGCAGCCGAGATTAGTTATAGCAGAGCCAACTTTAATTCTAATGACTATCTGACTTTGGTCCAGGGAGAAAGGGCATCACTGCAGAAACCACAGCGTCTGTCGACATCCAGGCTTGTTCTTGGGTTCATCCCAGTAGAATATGAAGCCTATCATTTATTAAACAATCCCCCTCTGAAGAGAGCAATGACAAGCTCAATGAAAACATGACAACTGTCTTGAGGACAGACAGGATTAATGGCGCCTGCAAGTGACGGTAGCTGCCAAAGGTAGAAATGAAGGAAGTAGTAGTATTTCTACAACATTTGTAAATATATTGCTAAAGCAACAAGCACAGAATGATGGAAAAGCTACCAATATTTCCCCTATATTAAGATACATTTAAGGACTCATGAATTATCTTTGGAATATCAAGGCAGTATGTGTATAACACCAAACATTTCAAGATGATGTTTTCCCCATCTGAACCACCTCCATCATGGTTCTATGGTAGAATGACACATTCTATTGAAGTATTTAGTCTTTCATATTGTTCGGTTTTGATATGTGTTTGAAGGAGCAACATTGTATTTGGGGAAGAGCAAAAGGAGAACAATAATTACTAGGAATGATATATATCCTGTTTTTTTGTTCTGCTCTAGTGAGATACATGTAATGTCGGAAGGGTGAATGAGAAGAAATGTGCAAGATAGTGGGGAGGAATCAGCCAGTTCCTCACAGAAACTTCATGCCAGAATCATGTGAATTGCACAGACTGAGTTCTGCAAAGCTGACATAATTTGAAATACTTATAGGAACAATTGAAAAATCAAGCCCTTGATATTAATCAACCTCCCTAACCAGGAAAGAGAGTTAAAGTGTCCTCATACGAAATGTCTGTTCCTCTTCCAGACACTGCCACAAGTGTGCTAGCACCTTACCAGGTGAAACATGGAAAGAAATGAAAAAAAAAACAACAACAAAAAAAACCCCAGTGACTACTGTAGTTAGGCACAGAAAAAACAAAAACACAAAAAAAGTAATAGAATTCATTAAACTCACAATCACTATGTATTACACTGATAATTTTATCATTACTATCAATTGTCTTCTGAAGATCAGATGATTAGCATCAATCCATCTAGTTGTCATCCCCCCCCCCCCGTGTAAGTAGTTAATGAAGAAATTCCCATAACTGTACAACATGGCATAGGCTGAACATCGATTATCATAATGATATGGGCTAGAATATCCTGACCTACAACATTTTTCTTCAGTCTTAGGATTTTCCTAAGAATACTTTATACCTCTGGATACTTTGTTTGCTTTGTGGTACTTCCCACATCCTTCATTTGACCATCATGCAACCCTTCCCGGGGCTCTGTGAGGTCGCCAGGGAAGGCAGCAGTACCCACATAACAGAGGAACCTGAGACTCAGGAAAGTGACTCCACCAAGGGGTCACATGGCTATTAAGAATTGAAAGAGGGACTAGAAACTATCCTAATCCAAAACTCTTTCCCCCATATGAATGGGCAGGAATTGCTTCTATCAATTCGTGCATTAGCAATCCACATCCTTTTCAACTTCCCATGGCTGAGAGTCAATAAAAGTGCCTAGAGAAGGAATGGCTCTAATTTTACTGCTTCAATATAAAAATCTTGTGGAAGTTACAAAGTCAGAAAAATTGAACTTCTCTCCAGTCTGGTCTCCAAACCTGAGCATGGCCCAATAATGCCTGTACGAAATGGGGGGTGTGGAGGAGGGGAAGGAACACAGGCCCTGCATAGACACAAGTATACAATGGATAGGAACAGAGGGAAGAGCTATCCCTCAGAGCCACAGAAGGCACTTCAGACAATGTCCTCAGCAGGGTGGGGGAACGAGTGTGTGCCCAGGGTGGAGAACTGGTGCCAGTTCCGCAGGAAGCCCCTGTTGTACTGGCCTGTGTCCACAATGAGCCCACAGAGACGGCGGCGCCCAGTCTTCTGCCGGAGGGCCTGCTGGACTTCCCTCTCGGTCACATTGTAGCTGATGTTGATCAGCTGGATCAGGAAGATGTAGGCCATGCCTGCTGTGATGATCACACAGTACCACACACAGGTGAAGGACAGAGCTGAACTGGAAGGAAAGAAGGGCCAGTCAGGAATGCTGCCATCTGTGTCACGTGCAGAAATCACTGCGCATTGTATGTTGTTGTTTTAACTTATTAAGGACTTGGGCACCTTTGACCTTCCCAACTGGAAGATATCTTACTCTCTTTGGAATGCCAGTAACCAGCTTAACTTACTAGAACTTGTTCTATTTTATTTTTATTGATCCATTTTTTATATTATGTCACAGAATGGTACTTATTTTATATACATATATATATGTATACACACACACACACACACACACATATATATATATATATATATATATATATATATATATATATATGCAATTTTTTATCTACTATACCACCCTACAGTCCTGGCATAATGATGCTCAACATCTGTTTTTGAATGAATAAGTAATTCCTAAATTATATCTAATGTATGAGAAAATGAAGGTGCCAAGAGATTGCTATAAATGTCTTCTCAGAAGCTGCAGATGGGAACCCAAGAACAAGGCTTAAAGTTATTCATCTCTTTTCTTTCTCAGCCTAATGCTGAATGAGCACAAGGAAGAAAACTGCCAATAATCCTAACCCTGAAAGAGCTACAGGAGCCATAACATTTCACACTTGGCTTCCTGTAAAGACAAATGGAATCATTGAGGGTAAGAAAGCTCCTTTTCAGGCTCATCATAATGAGACAAAGGAGAGGCTGCAGATCAATCAGTGCACGTGGACTGTGTTCAAGTTAGCTGGAAATAAATTTGCACAGAGCCTGTAAAGCTGAAAGGACCTTAGAGATGATTAAATCCCAAGTCCTCACCATAAAGATGAAGTGACATGAATCACACCCCCTGAAGAACACAGACACCTCTGCTTTTAGGACACTGTCACCCACAGTGTTGATCAAGAGTTTCACAACTAATGCTCTCCACAGGTCTAGAAAGGAAAATCACCTGAGGGGGACTAAGCTATTTTAATCATGCCCATAAATGATTCAAACTATGGCAATATGGAAGTCTGCTCCTAGACTAATAAAAACAAATGTCACACCTAGGTAGTAGGTAGAGAGAGCAGTAATGGTTCTGAAAATGAAGAGTGAACAGAGGAACAGCACTGAACCGCACATAGCACAAAGCTCATCAGAGGAGAGGGAATGGGGCACAGCCTGGAGGCACCCATAGCACCCAGGGGTGGGGTGATGGGGCCATCCTGAAGAATCTGTTTCTGTCACTACATGAAAATCTCCTCTATGGAAATGATCCCCATCTAATAATGCCTAAGGAAGCTTTGCCCTCTGTAGACAGTGCAGTAATTACTAATAAACCTTTTTTTGGGGGGGGGAGGGTGGAGAGAGGTCGTGGGGCCTGAACTTTGGGCCTGGGCGCTGTCCCTCAGCTCTTCTACCACTTGAGCCACAGCGCCCCTTCTGGCTTTTTCTTTTTTTGCTTATGTGGTGCTGAGGAATCAAACCCAGGGCCTCATGCATGCGAAGCAAGTGCTCTAGCACTGAGCCACCTTCCTGACATCATGACCCTCTTGAGAGGTTACTGAAAACAAAGTTTATATAGATGGTAAACCATTCTTGAAAAGGACCTGTTGCTTCCTGGGTAGGAAAGTGATCACTTGACTCTAGAAGTCCCTAAGCCTTACCTGATTGTAAAACACTGGTTTCATACGTGTATGCGTGCACGTGCGTGCGTGTGCATGCACACATGTGTGCATATTGGTCCTGGGGCTTGAATTCAGGGGCTGGGAGCCGCCCCTATCACTCAACACTAACGCTATACCACTTAAGCCACAACTCCACTTCCAGCTTTTCAATAGTTAAATGGAGATAAGACTCTTGTGGCTTCAAACCTCGCTGCTCAGAGCTCAGCTTTACGGGTACTAGGATTACAGTTACGAACCACCAGTGCTCGGCTTGTTCCTCACTTTCTAAGGGCCAGTTTTCTTTTGACACGCCCCTAGAAAAATACACATGACCACTGCACAATTTTGTTGGCATTTTGGGGGATATCCAGCAATTCTCATTCCATGTTCTATGTTTTGACTGAGAACTCCCAACCTTGCCTCAAATAACAACCTGGTAATGGCAGCATTAGTAACCACTTTGCCAAGCCTCTGGACTATGGATCCACATCTCACCTGTAATTTGTGTAAACTCCAGGACAATAGAAGAGAGCTATAAAGACACTTCTATCTCTACAAATGGTGTCCAAGGTCAGCATTATCCCGTATACCGAAGTGAGCAAGAAGATCAAAAGGGCAAGTATAAATGCTTGATGATTCGATTCTCCAACGCAGCTATTTATCCTCAAAACAGCACAAAGGAAAGAAAAACAAGCATTTTACAAAGTTCTTTATATAATTCACAAAATAAACAAGGAGGCTTTAAAACAGGGATAGTGTGAATTTTAGTTACTAAAAATGTTCTACTTTAGGGAATTAAAGGCTTTTCTACTGAGACATACTTCTCAAATACTTCTCAGAATATATCTCTGCTCTTCTCAAAGTGGGGATCATTACCATTTAGTTTAAGGACACACTAGGTAAAAAGCAGAACTTTGCTAAAAAATCAGATTAGATAGACAGAAAAATCATGGTTGGTTTTTTTTTTTGCTCTGTGTGTGTGTGTGTGTGTGTGTGTGTGTGTGTGTGTGTGTGTGTGTGTGTGTGTGTGTGTGTGTGTGTGTGTGTGTGTGTGTGTTAAGCATTGAACCCAGGGGCTTGCAAGTGTTAGGCAAGAACTCTATGAGCTCTAACACTGATCGTCCCTGATACCTCTTTTTCTTTTAGGCAAGAACTCTATGAGCTCTAACACTGATCATCCCTGATACCTCTTTTTCTTTTGGCTGAAATTAGGACTCAAAATTTGGTAGCTAACTCTTTTACTCATTGGCTGACACTCAACCAACTGAGCCACGCCTCTAACCCAAGAAGGGTTAGTTCTTCTCATTTTTCTACTTCTGAGAACCCTCTTCCTATACATTAATCAAGTCTACTACTAGGTGCAGAAGGGAGTTATCACGGTCATCACCATGCTAAAGAAATACATCAGAGTTGTGAAAACTTTTGAAAGCCAAGAAGTATTGTTACAGGAAAAATCACAGTAACTATATGAGAGCAATAAAAAAGATTCAAAGCTATTAGAAAACAACATGATATACGTGTTATTTGTCAGGCAAATATAGTTCTGTGACATCGACATGTGTACAGCAGGACATACGTAGGCTGTGTCTCTTTGCTCCCTGTGCACTCAGGATGCTCTGTTGGCCAAAGGCTCCATTGAGGAGGCTGTTAAGCCTTGTGCAAACCAAGGTTTGGAAATGGACCAACTGTCATCTACATGTACACATATGCCATAGATATAAGTGATGAAGACAAAGAAGTAAAATATTTGAAAATGAAAACACCCGTTTATTCAGTAAAGCTGAGTAACATCTCTCAACATTGTACCTTGTATCTTATGGATCATAGGTGTCTTCATTTGGCCACCTGGAAGGTACAAAAGAAGCCCATCTCTCTGCCAACAACCAATTAACGGGTTATCTGGTAGTAGCTCAATTCCATCATGTTGAGCGGAAAACACTTATAGTATCAAAAATAATTAATGAAATATACCTATAATGACAAATTAGGTTTAGAATTTGTTGTTGTTGTGCTGTCTTGGGTCTTGAACAAAGGATCCGAGTGCTGTCCCTGAGCTTATTTTGCTCAAGGCTAGTGCTCTAACCCTTGAAAAATAGCTCTATTTCTGGCTTTTTGGTGGTGCATTGGAGATAAGAATCTTAGGGACTTTCCTGGGCAAGCTTCAGATCTCAGCTCCTAAGTACTTAGGATTATGGCTGTGAACAGGCACCCAACTAGAGTTTGTTGTTGTTGGTTTTTTTTAACCAACTCTATTACAAAGGATACTATATAATAAATACAATGTATTTTGACCAATGTTACCTCTTCCATCGTCCTACCCCATCTCTCTAAAGGTTTAGTCCAGGCTGGTCTTGAATTCCTGATTCCCCTGCTCATTCTCCTCCTTGCCACCACAGATTATACTCATAAATTGACATGTTGAATTGAAATCCATTTTTTCTTTTTTTAAAATCAGTCATGGAGATTGAACTCTGGGCCTGGGTGCTGTCCCTCAGCTCTTCAGCTCAAGGTAAGTACTCTACTACTTGAGCCATAGCGCCGCTTCTGGTTTTCTGAGTGGTTTATTGGAAATAAGAGTCTCACAGACTTTCCTGCCTGGGCTAGCTTTGAACCGAGATCCTCAGATCTCCGCCTCCTGAGTAGCTAGGATTACAGGCATGAGCCACTGGCATCCAGCTTTTGTACAACTTCTTAAAGATCATTTTTTTAAAAATTAAAGGATACAGAAACAATGGGACAAAGAGTGAACTAATTCAGCAGTGATACTCACTAGACACTAAGTTGGAAATGAACTATAGAACTTGGGGGGAGAGGGGCTGGGAAGGTGGCTCAGTGGTAGAGGCTTGCCTTGCATGCATGAGGCTCTGGGTTCGATTCCTCAGCACCACATAAGCAAAAAGAAAAAAGCCGGAAGTGGCACTGTGGCTCAAGTGGTAGAGTGCTAGTCTTGAGCTGAAGAGCTGAGGGACAGCGCCCAGGCCCAGAGTTCAGGCTCCACGACTGGACCCAAAAACAAAAATTAAAAAAAAAAAAAAAAAAAAAGAACTTGGGGGGAGAGAGGTTAAGGAGGGAAAAAAATGAGAAGGGGCTAATACTGTTCAAAAAGAAATGTACTCATTTTGTAACTGTAAACCCTCTGTGTATCACCTTTACAATAAACATTTTTTTTAAGTTAAAGATAAAACAATAGCTCAAAAGAAAATTGGAAAAAAAAAACAATAACAAACAGAACCCACCCAAGCATTTTTGCTTTTCTCCTTCAGGAAATGACTAAAGGAAGTAAACTTGTGAAATTCAAAAAACTCATGACTAAGTGAGAATATCCTGGCAGCCTCCAAATATCTACAAGGTGTAAATGTGGGAAGAAGAGAAACGTTAGTATAGCACCAAGGAAGATCAAATATGGCTCCAAAGCTGTATGTGAATTTACACTTTCCGGGGCCTCTAAATTTTTTCCAACATACCAGACACAGTGATGATCCATCCTCCTCACACAGATGCCACAAATGCGGCAATGCCAGGCCCGGGCCGGTCTCACCAGCTGACACTTGGCACACCAGTCCTCTTTTACCTTGGTGGGACTTCCAGCCACCATGCGGGAGGAGACCTTAAGGTCATCCTTCAGCGTGCGATTGTTGAGACTACTAGACGCATCTGCTCCGGGGAACCCTTTGGTCTTCTCCTGCCCTTTTTTGTTCAGGCATTCAATTTGGCTACTGCTTAGGGATTTGTCATTGCTTGCTGGATTGTTGAGGTAGCCTGGATTCTTCTTGGCTCTGTACAAGGCTAAGAGTATCAGGAATAACCCGCAGGTAAGAACAGCCAGCTGAGTGGACCCTACGTGCCCTTTGGGGACCACCTCCCTCAGAAACACATAGTACATGTAGCCCAGTGAGAACAGTCCAAGGCTCAGGAAAAACAGAGTCTGTTCTTTCCTTCTGTGAGTGAGGTAGTAATACCACAGTGCCAGCACAGGAAGGGAGGTCAACACCAGTACTCCCAGCAGGAAATGCCAGGAAGCCACGTGAAGGAAGACAGGCAGAAGGACGAGCGGAGGAATGATGCTAATGTTAACTTTTTTGGCTCCTCTAAGCCAAGGAATTCGGAGGCGATCGGAAATTGTATCCATGATTCTTTCACAAGTCTCTGGCTGCACTGACTTACAAGTAAGCCACCTATTCAAAAAGAGCACAAAGAAAAAGCACTTCATATGGATTTGTTGAATTAAAACCTATAGAACACTGAACACCAAACAGCAGGATAAATAATAAAAGGAACCAAAGGCCAAGCATTTATTTCAATGCTACTAAACATGAGCTTTTCAGATTCATGTATCATTTTGAAGAATAGAGACAAGAAGATAATGTTTAGAAAGTTAACAGTCATGATTAGTCCTTAAACAAATGCATAAACATGTAATAGGTATACAAATATACTCCATACAAATAATGTCTTGATCCGAATGTGTATATGGTCCAAATAATCAAGAAAATCACAATCTAGTCCTGTGACAACATGGGAATTCAGAACATTTTAGGTAAATAAATGACAAAGCAACAAAAAAAAAAGCACTTTTTTTTTTTCTTTCTTTTTTTTTGTGCCAGTCCTGGGGCTTGAATTGAGGGCTTGGGTGCTGTCCCTGAGCTTTTTTGCACAATGTTAGTGCTCTACCATTTGAGACAAATCTCCACTTCTGGCTTTTTGGTGGCTAATTGGAGGTAAGAGACTCACAGACTTTCTTGCCTGGCTGGCTTTGAACCACCATCCTCAGATCTCAGACTCCTGAGTAACTAGGATAACAGGCATGAGCCACTGGTGCCCAGCTTAACTAATTCTTATGCTCAAATGTTATGAAAACTCAGAAGAGGGGGACCACTTCTGGGTGAAGTCATTGGGAATTTAGTGGAAAAGTGATATCTGAGTTTTACCATGGTGGTTAGTTAGCATTTATTTCCATAAGAAGAGAGGAAGGGAGAAAGGTGTTAACAGTGAGGGGAAATTAATGCAAGTCTGTTTTGTGTCCAGGAAATAACTAGTCTATATGCACATGAGTCTGCATAAAAAGGAGAGCAGCCAGGCACCAGTGGTTTACTCCTGGAATCCTAGCTACTCAGGAGGCTGAGATCTAAGAATCACAGTTAGAAGTCGAAGCCAGTCTAGGCAGGATAGTCTGTGAGACTCCTGTCTCTACTAAACTACAAAAAGAAACCAGAATTGGAGCTGTGGCTCAAGTGGTAGAGCGCTAGCCTTGAGCAAAAAGGTCAAGGACACTGCCCAGGCCTAGAGTTCAAGATCCATGACTGGCAAAAAAAAAAAAAAAAGACCAAACTAGAATGAATCCAATGACAAATATAGTAAACAGATGATGTTTTCTATTTTTTTTTTTTTTGCAAACCTAGATTATGTTGGAATCAATGCTTGTTTCCTCCAAAGCTCCGGTGCAAACCAAACCCCCAACACATGGAGAGATGGGGTTATCATGCATAGTGGTATACCCTTGTAATCCTAGCTATTTTGTAGGCTGAAGCAAATGGATTCCTTGAGCCCAGCAGTTTCAAAACCAAACAGTGCAACATAGTAAAACCCTATGAAAGAGAAGAGACAGACAGAATTACAGAACCTTTAGGAAGTTATCTGCATGAGAGCAGAATCATGAATGAGACACCCTATGAGTTCACTCTTCCCACCATGGAAGAATGCAGTAAGAAAGTACTAACTATGAAGCATACGGCTCAGCTGTGTTCATGTCTCAGTGTTTTGTAGAAAGTAGAACTCAAGAGCAATAGGACTATATATTTAATGGAAGAAATCCCTAAACGAAGTGTCTGCTCTACCAAATGACTTCTCTTGAATACTTATGGTAAAATGTGAGGAGAGAAATGGCTTTAAAGATAGAATATAGAGCCAGGTGCCAGTGGCTCCTGCTTATCATCCTAGCTACTCAGGAGGCTGAGATCTGAGAATGGTGGTGTGAAGCCAGCCTGGGGCAGGAAAATGTGAGACTCTCATCTCCAATTAGCCACCAAAAAGCCAGAAGTGGTAAAGAGCTAGCCTTGAGCACAAAAGCTCAAGGACAGCACTCAGGTCCTGAGTTCAAACTACAGGACTGGCGCGCGCGCGCGCGCACACACACACACACACACACACACACTCACAAAAGGAAGTAGAACTTAAATATTTGGAATGTTCTCGACCTGTCTAGAATAACAAATGAGAAGGTGTGTTTGAGAGAGAATATTAAGGCATGAATGAGATCAGTAAGGAAATGGGCCCTGTGCTATTCATGTAGACAATGGAAGGTAGGCTTGAAGGCACTTCGAACATTAGGGCTCTATTCCCATCATAAGCAGAAACATCAGGGCCTTGATGGCAAATGCTTTGATAGAAAAGGCCTATCCGCACCTATGAGACTTCAAGACTCTCCCTAGCGCCACCTCAAGTCTGTGCCCCATGTTCTGGGTCAGTCTTTATTGACAGTAACTGTAGGTGTGGCTCCAGTAGCCCAGGTGCAATGAAGGTTGAAGGAGCCTTTGGCCACTCCTCCAAAGGAAATGAGTAGAAAGCTTTGATAGCATCCATACAGTAGGCATGCAGCAGGCAGAGCTTCGGGGACAGAGCTGCCTCCATCTAACTCTCCAAGGATGTCCCAGAGAACCACAGGCTGAGGTGAAGAACGTCCAGAGGCAAAGCCACTACAGAGAGCCCTCACTAGAGCATTGCCTGGTGGAGCCACAGGGTCGGGGACTATGCAGAGAACCCCCACCAGACTGTGTAGCAGAGCCAAGGGGACACAAGGACTCCAGACTGGTAGAGCCACCAACACATATATGGAACCAGGGATAGCAGAAGAGATGGAGTATGCACCATGGCCTGGCCAAGTTGTGGGGACTGGAACACTCAGAGCATTAAGGAGTCCAACCTTCTGTGTCTGGAAGGTCAGTCAAATATTATCCTCTACCTTCAAAACTTAAGTGTCATTTGCCCTGCTGACAGCAGTCACTCCTTTCTCCTTTGCTATGTTTCACTTTGGGAATGGAACATCAATTCTATGCATAGCCCACCACTGTATTTTAGAAGCATGCAGCTTGTTATTCAGATTCACAGCTGGGAGAGAACTTGCCTCATAAGTACTTGCCTCGAGTACCTTCTAAGTGGTACTTGAGTCTTATCTATATCTGATTTAGATCTGATTTTAAGTCCACACCATGGACTTAAAATTTTTGTGTTCACGCTGGAACAAGTAAAAGATGATAGGTTGGAATAAATGTATTTTGTAATATAAGTAAATGAATAGGGGAGGGAAAGGTATGGGTGGAATATTATGGCCTGAACATTTGTGTCCCACCGAGATAGATGTTGAAATCTAATCCTCAATGCAAGAAGGGATTTTAGGAGCTGATTCTGGTCAGGAGGATGCTACTTGTATCCTCATAAAAGCAGCCCAAAGGAGGGCATCATCCCTTCTGCAGCAGGGGATATGGAGCAAGAAGGTGCTATCTTTGAGGAAAAGGCCCCCACCATATAGTGAATCTGCCAGCAATTTGATCATGAATTTATCTACTTCCAGAACTGTGAGGAATACATTTATATAATTATAAATTCTCCACTCTAACATATTTGGTTATAGCATCCTGAATGAATTGAGTTAGACTAGTGAGGAAAATTATAAGAAAAATAACTTTGATTTTGGATAATTTTTTTTTTTTTTTGTCGGTCGTGGGGTTTGAACTCTAGGCCTGGGTGCTGTCCCTCAGCTCTTCAGCTCAAGGTGAGTGCTCTACCACCTGAGCCACAGTGCCACTTCTGGTTTTCTGGTGGATTATTGGAGATTAGAGTCTCAGGGATTTTCCTGCCTGGGCTGGCTTTGAAGAGCTATCCTCAGATCTCAGCCTCCTAAGTGGCTAGGATTACAGGTGTGAGCCTGTAATTATCCAGCACCTGGCTGTATAATTTCTTAAAATAGGTCTAGAACTTGAAAGTGAACGGGAGATGACCCTACCCAGCAGCTGGGGCAGTTAAATAGTGGAAGCCTATCTCCAGAGGGACAGGTATAGAGAAAGCAGAGTAGAACTCAATGGACAGACCAGAGCTGAAGGGCTAAGACAGAGAACAGAATTAATGAAAAAGCCACAGTCATGATACAAACAGCATCCTTTCTTCCTCCAGTCATTAGCACAAAGTGCTCCATTTTCCCAGAACGGATTTTAGACTAGGTCTAAACACCTATATTTACAGCTACCTGTTTCAAAAAAAAGACTATAGGTATTGTCACTGAAGAAATTACAAAGGGTCACAATCTTTAGAAGTCAAGACTACAGTGGCCCCCAAGGAATGTTTTCATGGCTAGATTAATGTACCCGGCTTTAAATCAATGATCTGCAATTGCTATAATGACTTTTAGGAGAAAAAAAAAAAAAGAAGAAAAAAACCGAAGTAATTGTTAGGGGAGAAGCAGGTTTCCTATATCCTTATTCTTCCTACATTTGCTTTCTGTAAGACAATTCTTTAGTATATAATTATTGAGAAAATAGCTAAAAACAGCTATTACTGCTTGATGAACATTTTTTCATTGATGTTAAACAATTTTTTTCTGAGGAGAAATTTCCATCAAGGAGATGGGAAAAGTAAAGACCAAATACAATGTGCTGGAACACAACCATGCTTCTGCTCACACTAAAAGCAGTTGATAACGAGGAGGTGCATGCCTCTATCTGGATGTCCCCATCAGAAACCAGGGGTGAACCAGGAAAGGAAAACCATCTTCACTCATCGGCCCCAAACCTAGGTTCTCTGTCAACCGGGCCCAAGTACTAAGATTCTAATGAGAGACCAATAAGCATGCAGGAACTTTTGGAACTAGTAAATTCATTTTAAATGCGCAGATTCTAATTGCTTCTTTAAAAAAATATGTCTGACTCACCTCCTATCCCCTTATGTGTTTTCACCATCCCTTTCTCTTTTTAAACGAAAGATGATAATATTCAAGTAAACTGAGCTAGACAGACATTTGTGTATTACTGCGTAATTCTTTATAGAATCCTCACATTTGGCATTAAGAGAAAAAAAAAAAACACCTCAATTTTAGATCCTTGGAAATGGAACCCAGAGTCAATGCTCTGATTCTGCCGCGTTCTGAATGGCAAAGCTGAAAGTATGACATGGTAGTTGACAAAAGGACCCACGGAGGCTGGCCTCCTCAGTACACACGGCGTCCTTACCTATCACACCCTTCGTCAAGATCTTGGCAATCACACAAACAAGCAGCCACGTGGTTCTTTTCCCCATTTCGATCTATGTATTCGCAGCAGCACAGGGGCTCCAATTCCGGCTCTTCAGTTTTCTTCTTCTTCACTGGCTTCATACCTGACCTTCCGTGTCTTGACTTGCACCTGTCACCATGAGGTGGAAGTAGCCCTCAAGTAGGTAAGGGTGGCGAGAACCAGCTCACATCTTGCAAACACACCACGCTTCCGATGAACGCCAACGCCTTAGCTAGCAAAAATGAGAAGAAAGGGGGGAGGGGAAAAAGGGGTCCCGTTTTCATCAGGCTTTTTCATGGTCAGATTTGGGGGGGGCACCCTCTGGAGCCCCCTCCAGGATGCCGGTCCTCACCCCTATCCATCCAGGGCAGATGCCGTCTGGGCACCAGCCGTTCCCATGGAGACAGCCGCACGCGGTCCAGGACAGCGGGGAGCGGGCGGTGGCGTTCACCTGCGGCTAATGCTGGGCCGAGCTGTCCCCGCTCCGGGGCCGGGCGCTATGGAAACTCGCCCTCGGGGTGCGGGGAGAGGGGAAGCGTGGGCTGCGCTGGCACCGCACCGGAGGACGCGCCCAGCGGGCCCGGGGTGCTGGGGGGCCGGGGAGGGGATGCCTGCAGCTCCCGGGCCGCCCCGAGGTCGCCGTCCCGCCGGCGGCCCCGGCTCCGCGTGGGGCGCGCCCGTCCCGCCCCCACCGATCCGGAGGGTGTGGGCGGGCCGCCAGCGCCACCGCACCCCGAGAATGACCTTGGAAGTTACCTGCTCTCCCGACGGAGGCGCGGCCATGGAGTCGGGAGGGACGGCTCCTCCCGAGGCGCAGAAACGTTCTCCGATCTCCGCTGGAGTCTCGGGGACCCCCCTCTCCCACCCCGTCTTCCCTCGATCGGTGTGGCCACGCCCTCGCCACGGCCGCCCACCTGTGACCACGGCGGGCCGAGCGCCGCGCGCGCCTCCCGGTGCGCTCCCCACCCCGGGCTCGGCGTGGCAGGTCCGCGCGCGCTTCCGGGTGCCCCGCCCCCGGCGCCGGGGATTCCCGCGTCCGCCCCGCCGCCCGCACGTGCGTCGCCCTCCGCCCGGCCCAGCCCGCCGGCCAGGCCCCGCCCTCCCTCCGGTTCCGCCGTCCGTCTGTCCGTCCGTCCGGGGCGGTGGGGCGCGCGCCGCACCTCTGCCAGCGCGGTGACCACCCCCCACCCCCGTCTTCACTACCCGGCCGGGGCCTGTGGCCGGCGCGTCGGGGGAGCAGCCACAGACGCCTTTGGGGTACCCGAGGTGCAGCTGCGGAGCCCGAAACACAGGGAGCCCAGAGACTCCCGACTCGGGGAGGCCGTGGGCCGGCCAGCCTAGTCCACACCAGCAACAGGCTCTGCGGGATGGGGTGGGCGGCGGTCTGCCCCGGTGACCAGCCTCCCCCGGCTGGCGCTGAGCTTCCCTTCGCCTCCCTGCACCCCGATCTGTGGATGCACCCAACTTGCTCATTCCCGTGAATTCTGTGAGTTCCACGCTGGCCCCACCAGTGCTGCTTTTCCAGTACTCTTTGGGTGCTGAAACGAAATTGCCCTCCGTCTGATTCGGATTTTATTTTACAGATTGTAGGCCCACATCAACATTTTTACGGCCTTAGGCATTTTAGTTGGCTTTTTGTTTGTGTGAGTGTTAATAGAAAGGTGGTGTGCTGAGGTGTTGGGTTTTTAAGCAGGAGAAAAAGGGAAATTATAACTCAGACATGTTGGTTTTTATTGACATAGTTTACATAACAGGTTCAAATTTTGTTAATTGCTTTCTACTCCTGTATTTATTTTTTTTAATTTCTAAAGCAAGTTGGGTCTGTTTGAGGTCTGACACAAAGTACACATTTTTTAGAGCAACCACAAAAATAATTATTTTTGTGAATTTAACCAAGTTTCTAGTTTATAATTCAGTCACTCTTGCTCACAGCCTCTGTTTCATAAAATTGCCAATGTCCCCAAGCCATCCAAACTTCAGGGAGATGAAATCGAATCCTTAGTTGAGAATTCACCCGGAGAGACCCATTTACCTTCTAACAAAGTCAATATTTCATTCCAAACAGACATCTCAAAAATGACTTCCGTGATGTCAGGGCTTTGGTGATCGGGGTACAGGGAAACTTTAAAGATAATAGTTGTTCAAACTATGTAACAATATATGTGTGTGTGCCAGAGAGACCGGAAGAGGACAAAACAATACACACTGAACTTTTCCTAACTCTTGAAAGCCTCTGACTTCATGTCAATTCACAAAGTCCTAATTTTCATAAGCTATAATGTATTGAGACATAAACAAAAAGCCTTTTTATGAGAGCCCATTAGCTGGGCACCTGCTAGCCACTAGCTACTCAGGAGGCCAAAATCTAAGGTTCAAAGGCAGCCCAGGCAGAAAAGTCTGTGAGACTCATCACCAGTCAACCACCAAAATGCCAGGAGTGGAGCTGTGGCTCAAGTGGTAGAGTGCCAGCCCTGAACAGAAAAAGCTAAGGGACAACGTCCAGGCCCTGAGTTCAAGCCCCAGTTCTAAGCACAAAACAACAACAAAAAAAGCCTCAGCTTATGTCTCACAACATCAGTCCGTAAACTTGTGTTGGGACATGCATTTCCCAAAAGTTTTTAAGAACTATAAAGTTTGTATCTGACTTATAACTAAGAACAGACAATATATACACATTATACATACAAGCATAAAGAATGAAATCAATACATAACTAAAAGTAATACACAAATTATTTTCAACAAGATAAATCACTTTCTTTATGAAAGACTGCTAAGCTGAATTCAAGCTTAGTTCAAAGATGTATTTGATCTGTCACTAAATGCCCAGATTTTAACATACTCTGGTTTTATAACTTAAGAAGCTGGTTCTTCATTTTCAGCACTAGTGTCCCACACATTTTTTTTCCTAAATTACTTCTTCTATTTTTTGATATATGAAAAAGATCACCTCACTTCTGCTGTCTAAATACAAAAATAACCATTTCTCTCATAAAGATACATATAGCTGAAGAATCTTTCTGATAACAATTATCAACATGCAGATTCAAAAGGTTTAACTATTAAATTTGCATGCTAAATAAATAAAACATCACAATATTTACAAGAAACAAACCTAATAATGTTGTAAAAACCAATCCTTTAAAATTATTAAGAGGGGTTTTTTTTGTATCTACTATAACACAATCTATGGAAAACATGGTCATTCAGTGCTGACAGACAAATTTAAAGCATAAAACTTTAAGCCTCACCATAGAAAAGAAGCTGTACTACTCAATTCAAAAAGAGTCTCCTTTTCTTTTTGTATCTCAGATTTTCAACACCAGAATGTATTTCATGGTTCACTGGAGAAATTCACAGTTTAAAAATATCCATAGGAAGTAGAAGAATAGATTTGGGAAGCTATCAGAGAATAATTATCAAGTAAATGTTATTTAAAAGACTGCTGGCATTAGAAATTCCAAGAAGAAAAGAGTGGAAATAATAACAATTAAAATCCTTCATCCTGTTTTGTTTTAGTTCCTGGTATCTCCAATGTTTTAGTCTTAAGATCACTAGCTTTCAACAGCCATGCCAGTCTTGTTCTTATTGAGTAGATCGAAGGTTTTCTGAAGCATAATAAGTGAGCTCTTAAGCTGCAAAGAAAATTAAATTTGAAAATCAGATTTTTACATTTTTCTGGCTTTATGCCAAAAGTTTACAACTGTGTTTGATCACAGTTTGATCATAAATTTTTGTTTTTGCCAAAATCTAAGTCAAACAATATAGAACACCAAATTCCTTTCATTTTTCCTCTTTATTTGGCGCTTCTGGGGTTTGAAATCAATGCCTTGTACTCAGTAAGCAAACATGCTACACTTGAGCAACGCTCCCAAGCCATAGAACTCTAGTGTATTTTTCAGATAGGCTGTCAGCTTTTCCTCCTCCCACTTTCCCTCTCAACTTTGCTCCCATCCACCACATGCTCTCCACCCCATACCCAGTTTCATCCCAGCCCTAGAGCAATGAGGCCAAGGGCCAAATGACCATAGCCTGAAATCCCAACAGTGAGCCTAAATAAGTCTCTCATCCTTTGTTATTCTCAGTATTTTGTCATATCATGACAGCTGACATCTAAATAATAGAAATGGTAAGAAGTCAGAAGAGTCATGGAGGGCAGAAATCACCAACTATACAAATGATGAAAGTTCTCAGAATTACAGAGCACTAGAGAATCATACTCAAAACCCTGATAATAGACTCTAAATTCTAATCTCAACCCTGAAAGCCAAAAAGAAAAAAAAAAAAGAGAAATGCCTTCCAAGTTCTGAAGAAACATTACTTCCCATCTAGAACTCTATCCGCCACCAAACCATTAAGCTAGGTAAAAAGTAGCATTTTTTTTTCTTCAGACAGTTGAACTCTTCAAATCATAAGCAGCTATTTAAAAAAGGTGTGCTTCATTAAAAGAAGATAAGGGTTGGGACCCAGCTCAGTGGTAAAGCACCTGCCTAGTATGCCTGAGTCCCTGAGTTCTATTCCCAACATAGCAAAAAGAAGAAAAAAAGAGAAAAGGAAACGAAGGAAGAGAAACACGGGAAGCAGAGAAGGCACCAGGAATGCCGGCACGGTATCTGTGTAGCCAGCATAGAGAACCTCAGGATCTAATGAGCCAATCAGAAGGCTCTATCAGTGAATAATGTTTCTGATGGGATTTTAAAACAGAATTAGGAGATAAAAATGTTTATATAATTAATGCTGGCAAAATTAATACACTGATATGGAATTCAAAACACTGCCAAAATCATAGGCAATTAGAATATCTAACTTGGTCAAAACAAAGCAAACATTGAGTATTCATCTAACCAAAATTAATGTTAAACTTCATGGAGAGAATGATAGGAATTGGAAATGTCCAAAAGTGGAAGTGAGGAAGAAAATTACATCCTTTTTTAGAATGAAAAATCATGAAGAATCAATCACATACATGCTTGTTAATACAGAGAAACACAAAAGAATAATCTAAGTGTATTTATTGTCATTGGGAAAGGAATGGCAGAAGATGCTAGGATCACCATTTTTCTGAACAGACCTATACAACAAAACTTCACTTTTCAAGTGATGAAGTGATTTTCACTTTAAAAATAAAACTTAAAAAGCAGATGGGTGGAGAGGATTAACTTTCTGCAAATAATGTAGTAAACATTCTCTCCCAACCAGAGAAACCCAGTCACATGTATTCAGAGGTGCGGGGTCCTGTAAGGCAAAGGTTTATATACCTGCTCTAGCATCAGTATGGAATCTTGAAGTACCCCTTTTAAACGATGGGCTTGATCTTTGCTCTTTTGAATATTTTCTGTTCTTGAGACCATATCAGAGACCAAACTGGAAGAAAAATATTATCTTCAAAATCAAGTATAGCTTCTGATCTTTCATTTCCAAAACTTATTGCATCCCCCAAATTGCAAACAAAGCATGACATTAAACAAATAAAAAAAGCCATTGTGACTATAGAATAGTTGTTAGCTGACCAGAATTTCTGAAACTGGAATTTGATTTTCTGTAACTGAAGAACTGTTGAAGTAATGTGGTTAAAAAAAACAATAGGGAAGGAGCTACTTACTTTAATGATTTCTCTTCTTGGAGATGGAGACGGTAAAAGGACTGAGCAGCATATTCTATTTTTGACAACTTCATAAACAGTGTCACATTCAACAAAACCAGAAACAGCAAACTAGACAGAGCAAATGAAACCTGGTTAATCCATATATCCAGACTTGGTGCATTGATAATGCAGAATACACATGCAAACCAGGTGGGGGAATACACCCCTGTACTCCCAGCAATCCAGTGGTGGTAGGAAG